GTATCCTCAATCCCATCTTTACTAACACTTAATAAAATAAAATTACTTGCTTGCCCTGACCTTTTTCACTGACCCTTAACCTTTGCCTCCAAAAACATGTGCAATGAGCACGTTCACTATTTTGTAACTAAGTTTGAGGCAATCTCTTCCCTGTACTAATCTCCCTTGTTCACTTCTCTTCTAATGTTATCCTTACTGTAACCCTGAACTTGCATCTGTCACTAGTTTTTCTCTATCTCCTTCACGTGCACTGAGATAATCTTATCCATGAGATCCTACTTGGCTTCCCTCAATCTTATTCCCACCAAACTGAGATCACCTGTTCTCAAAACTCCTAAGTTCATAGTAAACCAGTCTCTCTCTGGGTATTGTCATCTCCTGTCAGCTGTCGTCATCTATCTGAAAACAAACAGCTCTTGACCCTACTGTCCTTGTAAACTATTGTCCCATCTCCAATCCTTTCTCCCCCTCAATGTGTTGAACATTGTTTCGCTTCCCAAATGTGCTTCTTTCGTTCCCAGAGTTCAGTTGGAGTTTCACCCTGCCACCGTACCAACACACATTTACAATCCCGTTCAGAAGGGCGAATAAATTCCTCTGTTCGCTTGAATAACAATATGCATTTTCTGAAACAGCTACGTTTTCCTTTTCCATATATATTTGATCATTGGCAAAACGATGAAGAAACCAGCTTAGCCAACTCTCTTGAACTTACTTAAATTGTTTTTTTTTGTAACCTCCATTTAAGTAAAGAGCAAAACATTTAAATACAAAGGTGAAAAGCTGTCCCAAATTCCACAATGTGCATATGCATTTGCTACTACAAACACTCTTATGCACGAGCTCACAACTGCCTCTCACGCTCGCTACTGTTCATGTGCTAAGTTGCTCAGTACTACACGTTCACCCACTCGCCCAATCTCCTGACAACTTTCTTGTTTTCTGACCTTACTGAAAGACTTTGAACAATTAGAAGCTAAATTAAAATGCAGAACCTCCAAGATGATAATATCTGGAGCCATGGGAAATCTAGCATAGTGTAAATAAAGTCCAAGAGTTACATGTGCACCTCAAAAATTTGTGTGGGTGGAATACTTTCGGTTCGTGGAGCACTGGCCATCAGTATTGGGGTGAAAAAGAGCTGTTCCAGTGGAATGAGCTTCACTTGAACTGTTGTCCTTGCAAATTAAGTAACTAGGGCTCCATTGGTCTTTAAACTAATATGGTGGAGGGTGGTGTTGGGAGAATGCAGTAATGATAAGTGACTTCAATCTATAAAAATGCAGGGTAAATTTAACGAGATTTAATGTAAATTTAATACGTCAGATGTTTGACAGGCAATGGCTAATATTTAAAGAATACAACTAGAATACAAAGCCTCAGTTGTTCACAATCTATAGCAATGATTTGGATGTGGGGACAAATTGTAATATTTTCAAGTTTGCAAATGACTCAAATCTTAGTGGGAGTGTGTGGAATATGCAAAGATGTTTCACAGATTTGGGCAGGCTGAGTGAGCATGGCCAATGGAGTATAGTATGATGAAGTGAGATGTTATCCACTGATAGGATAAACAAAGATGCAGAGAATTTCTTAAATGGTGAGTGATTAGAAAGTGATGTCCAAAGAGACCTGGGTGTCCTTGTTCATCAGTGAAAGCTAGCATACAGGTGCAGCAAGCAATTTAGTAGGTTAAAAAAGTTAACATACTGTTATCGTAATGTGGAGGTGCTGCTGTTAGACAGGGGTGGACAAAGCACAAAGACCCATGACACCATATTGTAGTTCAAGTTTATTTGAAATGACAATCTTTCGGAGCACAGCTCCTTTGTCAGATGAAGTGAGAGAGAAGAGCACACAGACACAGAATTTATAGACAGAGAGGTCAAAAGATCATACAACTGGTGTGGCTATGAGAGCAAAGAAGTATAAGAATAAGCAAGTCTTGGACATTTGTATAGAGCTTTGTTGCTGTAGTACTTTGCAAGGTTTTGGGGTGTGTTTTCTTAGAAAGTATACACTTATCTTGAAGGTGGGACAGCATAGGTTAACTTACTTCTGGGATGAGTGTACATTCCTAAATTAGGCTGAGTAAATTGGGTCTATACTTGGTGTATTTTGGAAGAATGAGCAGTCATCTGTTTGAAACATATACAGGACTTGTCAGGATAGGCAGCATGAGGTTGCTTTCCTATACTGAGAAGCTCAAATATGGGCACAAGTCTCCGAATAAGAAATTGATTATTTAGAATTGAGATGAGAAATTTCTTCACTGAAGGTTGTGATGATTTGGAATCTTCTATCTCAGAAGATTGTAGACATTCCATTGTTGATCTGTTTAAAACTAACTTTTGCTGACTTAGGAAATTGGAGTATGGGGAGTGAGTGGGAATGAATGTTGAGAGAGAAAGTTTCCTATAATAGCTTGAGGGGTTATGTCTGTTGCTCCTGTTGTTATAAACTTTGCTCTATTTTCTCCTTTCTTGCCATTGAATCAGAATATGTGGAGTTACGATAGAGCTTAAAACTCTTTCTATTACCAAAACCTTTTCTTCCATCTTAAGTGCTTCTATCATAATCTTTCAACTACTTGAATCAGTTTGTCATCTGTTTCCTCTTACTCCAATGTCCTTTTTGGAATGTGGATAATGGGAGACTGTAAAGTCTCTGATTTATCAAATTCAGTGCTGAAATAGGTCCCAGGTCTTGTTCGTCCATCAGCTCAGTCTTCACTGACCTATATAGGTTTAGATTAGCTTAAAAGCGAAGTCTGTATCCTCATATTTCAGGCCCTGTGTGGCTGTGTTCCATCTAGCCTTTGTTACTTTCTTCAAATTTGCAATCTATCTAGTTCTGTTGTCTTCCGACCAGACTTCTTGTGCATCAATTTTTCAATTTGCCTGCTGTTGGTGAAAGAGGACTGGCTCCTTCCGGACCTCTAACCCTAAATTAATCTTCATTTTACTACACTCCTTCTCTCCCTTCACCTTTAAAAAGCCCCTCTGAGCCAACTTATCAACCAGCCCTTTTTAAACCCATCTTTCCACAGTGATCCAATGTCTTTTCATTTTCCTTTTTTTAAATTTTCTTCCCTGTTGACTACAGTCACCTTTTTTAAATTTTAAAAGTGTACGTTCATTTCAGTGTTTTCAGCATCAAAGAGAGCACCTTGAAGGGAAAATAAAGTTTTGCCCTCTTCGCAGCCATTGGCTGTCCCAAAGTGCTTTACAGTCAATTAAGTACTGTTGAAGCTTGATCACCTTTTTTGTACAGAAAATACAGCACCCAGATTTAAAAAATAAGGTTATAATTAATTCATAATGTGACAATGACTAATTTACCTGTTTTTGTAACTCTCTAATAGAAGGATAATTAATGGTGACCAAGAATTCCTTTCCCATGCCTCCCGTTGTCCCATTGTAACTCTTTTCCACTCAGTCTGATGGGGCCTCTGTTTAACAATTTATCTGAATAATAGCATCTCTTGACAGTGTAGGATATCTTCACTACTGCACTGGAGTATCGATCTTACTTTGCGCTCAAGGCTCTTGAGTGGAATATTTTATAACAACATATTAGGACTTTGTAAATAGTTGAGCACATATTTGAGTTGTGAATAAAATTTGTTAGAAGTGACAGGAATGATTGAAGTTGGTTTGCACATAAGCCATTCACCTGGATATGTTTTTAAGTTTCTATCTGATATGATACGCCTTACAACATAACTGCCCCTGATCTTGACACTAGAAAGACAATTCAAAAGTTAAGCAATTATTGACATGTCAAATGTCAAGAGCCTTAGTTCTGGTTTTTGGAGCATAGAAGTTGAAACATGCTTGAGTAAAATGAGGCAAATTGACCATTATTTAGCTGTGACCCACAGACCTGTTAGAATTATGTTAGCTCTAATCAGCCCCTCCCACCCACACTGAAAGTGGTCAACCTGAGGTCAGAAAGAAACTGAGTTATGGTTTTGGGTCATACATATTGTCTAAGTTGAAGGTATAACTAGTTTTAACCAAATTCAGAAGCTAGGGAATGGGAAGAAACCACATCAGAAGGTTTGTGAAAGAATGGAAGCCAGATTAGATTAGACGGCAACCTTTTCACAGAATCATGGAATCCCTACAGTGTGGAAACGGGCCATTCGGCCCAACAAGTCCACACTGCCCTTCCGAAGAGCACCCTACCCCTGTATTCCCCCATGTCTAACCCACCTAACCTAAACATCCCTGAATACTAAAGGCAATTTAGCATGGCCAATCCACCTAGCCTGCACATCTCTGGACTGTGGGAGGAAACCACAGCACCTGGAGGAAACCCATGCAGACATGGGGAGAAGGTGCAAACTCCACACAGACAGTTGCCTGAGGCTGGAATCGAACCCAGGTCCCTGGCGCTGTGAGGCAGCAGTGCTAACCACTGAGCCATCGTGCCACCTATTTTCTTTGAGGAGCTGCTGAATTTTGCTTAGGAATTATGCTGGTGGTATGTTACAGATCATGGAGTCAGAGTTCTTGTGGAAACATGCACTTTTACATACAGGTTGCAATCTGGAGCTGTGGATAGTGATGGTAGAGGCTCCTGTCCCCTTTCCACCATGCAGCTGACCAGGAACCTCTTCTACTCTTAACATCTGCCAGACCTGATTGACTATATTATGAATGCACCTTCCTTGGCAATCGGGTCTTGGATGGAGTATCATATATGGAGCTCCTGACTTGCAAGCAGCAACTGCCATTCTGCAAAACATGCTGTGAAATACAAAGGCAAAAATCAAACCTCCTCTCTTTAGAGAGAGGCTGCATGCTATTAACATTAAACTGGCTGGTCTGCTGATTGTCACGATTAATGGGGGTTTATTTTATATTTCATGAATTTATGAAGAATTTTGATATTGCAATTGTGAATAGTTTCACCAAATTTAAAAATTGTTGGATGTGTTAGAATGTTTGTCATTTGAATAACCTGACTACATTTTTCACTTTCCTACTTTGTAGGCATTGGAGGAACAAATAACGCAGAACCATTCTGGAGTTTAGGGAAAAGGATGTACTACAGATTCACTGGTAGCTGTAGAAATGTGACAGAGAAATGAGTCAGCAAGCAAGGAACATGTTTAAGTTCTATAAATGCTGTTTAGCTCAGCAAAGCACGTGACTAACTATTGACATGAAACACTAAGTTCAGAAAAAACAGATCAGGGAATCTTAGTGGCAGAAGATACTTGAAAAATCTCTCCAGAATCAATGTTCAGAATGCAACAGCAAATGAGCATATTACTATAGAGGAGAAATGTACAACATGAGACCTGTTTGGAACAGCAGTCATTAAAAGTACAGTTCATTGCTGCACAGATACCAAGAAAACTCTGTTTTGGTCTTTAATAGGGTATGGTCTGATCCTAATTGTAACTAAATGTGCAAGCTATATTTGATGGAAAATATGCCTGAGACTTTCTATGAGGGATGGGGACACGTTCAACTTGTGAGTATCACAGAGCACATTGACACTGACCACTGGTTGTCCAGTTGCACATGCAACTTGAATGTGTTTCAGAAAATTGGCCTGTGCACTGGGATAATCAGGTGTCTTCAGAAAAAGAAGTGAGAAAACTGGATGGGATAACAGATTTTGACTTGAGATAAACAAAAAGCTTCTGAATTTAAGTGCCAAGACTTTAAAATAACCAGTTTTCAATTGGGTTAAATGGAACATAATAAAGATGTTACTTTATGAGTAAAAAAAGAAAGGAAATGTAATTGTTCCATTCTTTGATTTAATCAGGAGAGGGCCGGGTTGGAGATTTGGGAAGAAAAATGCAATCTTTTTAGATGGAAATATTAAGTTGTATGTGTTTTGCAGACTTGGATATGCTCATTTGTAGCAGCTGAGTTTATTCATGTGCTTTTATTTCTCATTTCCCAGTTACACGTAACGAAATAATTAGAACATTTAAATTTAGTTAAGATTCCAATATGTAGCACACATTTTAAGAATGTGCTATGTGCTCCTCCCTACTTAAGATCTTTTCTCATGCATTTCTGCCTGTCATGAGAAAAGAATAAAAGATTAGACTGATAGCTGGTCAATGTGTGCATGCTGTATGCTAAATTTGATTAATCAACAAAGAATCATAATGAAATCATTCATGGTCTGTTCTCACTATGCAATTTATTATGCATCTAAGTCATTCAAATCCTTAATGTGTACATTAAACTTGGCCATGATTGTAAATCAAAATATGTATGTACACTAAGCATTAAAATGCATTTATTCTCTTGCACCTAAATATGACTTGATTCAGTTCTCACTGGCATATGCAGAGTTCTTGCAGGATGGTGTTCCAGTGTAGTTAGGGCTTTTCTTGAAGCTGGTATTTCATCTCTGGAGTTAAATTTAATTGCTTGTGACAGGTTTAAAATACATTTGTAGTTCTGTGGAAGAAAGACTCTTCATCTCTACAGCAATTTTAATGACTCTGCAGTTAAATTTGAGTCCCACAGTTTTTAACTACTAAGCCACTTCATATGTGGATCACTGGGCTGAATATACCACAAATTGACTAAGTGTAAATTTCAGGGAGTTTCAAAGAGGGGTTCTCTGTGACCCCTAGTGGGTTTTCTCACTCATCTCCGCATCTTGCTTCATTAGCTGTGCACCCCTCCTCTGTGGTGCCCTACTCAGGCTATCATGCACTCATCAAAGGCTGAAGTACTCGCCACTGCAGCAATCTCCAGAGATTGAGTGTTGGTGCCATTTTTTAAAATTCTAGCATGTACCAGATCAAGCTCTGCCAGCCAGGACACCATTCGTGGTGTAATTGGTGGGAGGGGAATGAAAAAGGAAAGCTCCTGAGGGCACGTTGGTAACTCTGGTAACATATTGCTATTTTACATAACCCTTCTTATCCACTGTCATTGTGCAGCAATAAGAATCAAGCTTCACAGGCTACCCATTCTTAATGGCCTCCCATATTATATCCCTGTCTTCTTTTATTATTCATTTCCCTGTTTGCTTTTATTATTCATTCATGGGAGGTGGGCAAAGTTGGCTGGGCAAGGATTTATTACCCATTACTTGTTGCCGACAAAGGTGATGATGATGAGCTGCCTCCTTGGACCACTACAGTTCTAGTGCTGTAGGTAGATCCTACATTGTGATCCTATACAAGTGCTGTTAGGGAGGAGGTTCCAGGATTTTGACCCAGCAGCTGTGAAGGAAAGCTAATATATTTCCATGTCAGGATGGTAAGTGGCTTGGAGGGGAACTTGCAGGTGGTGATGTTCCCATGTATCTACTGCAGTTGTCCTTCAAGATGGAAATGGTCTTGGGTTTCGAAGGTGTCTAAGGAAACTTGTGAAGTTCTATAGTGTATCTTGTAGATGGCACACACTGCTGCTACTGTTTGTTGATGGTGGAGAGAGTGAATACTTGTGGATGTGCTACCAAACAAATGGGCTGCTTGGTCCTGGATGGTGTCAAGTTGCTTGAGTGTTGTTGAAGTGAATTTATCCAGGCAAGTGGGGAGTATTCCATCGCATTCTGTCTTGTGCTTTATAAATGGTGGACGGGTTGGGGAGTCAGGTGGTGAGTTACCCACTGCACGATTCCTAGCCTCTGACCTGCTGTTATTGCCACTATGTTTATATGGAGTCATGGAGGTCTATAGTACAGAAAAAGGCCTTTGGCCCATAGAATCTGCGCTGGTCAAAAACATAACTATTCTAATGACATTTTCTAGCACTTGGAACAGCCTTGCATGCCTTGGCATTGCAAGTGTGCATCTAAATACTAAGATGATATGGTGTCTGCCTTGCAGGCAGAGAGTTCCAGATTCCTATCACCCTCAGTGCAATTTTTTTATCCCCCCTCACATTCCCTTTGAACCTCCTGCCTCTTACTTTAAATCTATGCCCCCTGGTCAGTGAAAGTTTCTTCCTACTTTGTCATGTGGCCCATGGCATACAACTGATGAATGGTTAGACCTGTTCATTTTCTGGTCATGGTAAAACCCAGGATGTTGACGTGGGAGTGATGGTAATGACAATGAAGATGATTGTATTCTTGTTGGAGGTGATGATTACCTGGCATTGTGTGCACAAATGTTGCTCTTCATCCCAAGCCTGGATATAGTTCAGATCTTGCTGCATTTGGACATATAGTACTTTTGTGTCTGAGCAGTAGTGCTGAACATTGTGCAAATATCTAACGAACATCCCCACTTCCAACTTAATGATGGAGAGGTGTTCTTTGATGCATCCCTAGGGTTGGGCCTAGGATACTCCCCTGAGGAACTCCTGTAGAAATATCTTGGAACTGCGATGACTGACTTCCAACAACCACAACAGTCTTCCTTTGTGCAAGGTATAACAGAAAGTGGCGTTGGAGAACGAGTAGCATAATGTTATCTCATTGTTCAATGAGATAACATGACCTACTAAAAGGCCTTTAAATGGTTTAAAATGTTCACTTTTATTCAGCAACAGCAGAAGTGAAGATATAACAAGCTAAAAAAGCTGTATTTGCTTCTGGGAACAGGTGGGGATAATTTTTTTTTCTTTTTGAGCAACAAAGTATTTTCAGTCAGTGAATGATCACTGATCACTGCACCCAGCTCAGATCTGTTGGAACCGCATGTCAATTTAAGTTCAGTATGGCTTGTGCCTGCTGCTGTAATGCTGCTTCATGCAGAAAATGATGTTCCTCTAGTTCACTGTCCTCTTCAGAAAACTGCTCCAGCCCTTCATTGCCCATCACATCCCCTCTTTGCCTGCTCCAGTTGTGCAAAGCACAGCAGGCTAGCATCACGTGGCTAGTTCTGTCTGGAGTTCCCTGTCTGATCCAAGCATCAGAACCTTATTTTAAGCAGGCCTAACATCTGTTCCATGACAGCCCTGGTTGAAGAATGGGCTGTATTTTATCTGCTCTGCCTCAGTAGAGGGTTACATAATTGAGTTAGCAGCCATGGTCATGGAAGAATAGTCTTGTCTTCCAATAACTGCCCTTTTAAAGACATTCTGCCCTTTGAAACGAAGGAGGAACATGGGATTTCTCAAGGTGTTAGACGAAATGGCAACTCTCCAGGTACCTGGAACAGACTAAGATGTGGTACTGATGGTTGCAGATAACTTGTATATTGATGGAATGGAGCTCTTCTTTTTGGTGTTGTTTTTGAATTCAGCTGTATGATAGTGTTCTCAACATGAAGTATGTACAGTCTATAATGCCCTGCACCTGGGAGAATTAAGCCATGTTGATTTTAAAACCTACTTCCCAAGCTGCAGCATTGACCTTTGTCACGTGACAATGAAATGATGTGGTTGCATTAGTCACAGTCTTAATACACTTGAGACTTCAGAGTTGAAATCCACACCGGCCTCCAGATCCTTGGAAGCAGCCATATGTGCACAGTACTGCAGTCAGCCACTGGGATTTGATTGCCACCCGCTCATTCAGTATGCAGGCCCCATTCCAGTTAGCATAATTTTGCAATGGTGTCCCACCATCTCCTCAGACTGCAGTGATACTGTACTTTGATCTTTTTTTTGGAGGAAAGGACCACATGTTTAAGATTTAGACAGGTACTGTTGACCCAGAATGAATCTTCAGCTGTGACTTCTTCATATGGAAGCTGTTGGTAGCGTTGGAGGTTGCTACTGGCCCTGGGCTTGCTGTCACATATGTTCATTCATAATTTCTTTGCACTTTCACAGTGGCCACAGTGACGTAGTGGTTGGGTCCAGTGGTCAATGTGTCATGGAGTTTTCTGACAAGGAGAGCCGAGAAATGCCTCTACATGGATCTTTTTGACATGGAAGACCTATTCTGAGACGTGCAGCCAAACCATCTTGTGCAAATATAGTAAGAAATTCTAAGTGTGGTAGGCTTACTGAAGTCTTGCTTCCACCCCACATCACTCGAGAATGGCAGCATTGCACATAAGAGCATGTTGACAAATACGGTTCAAAGGGAGAGAAATTCAGCTTTTTAGTGTCCCACAGAGTTGAATACTGCATGCATTTCACATGCAGAGTACTATGATTACAGATATCTTTAATCTGTACAGTAAGTGCCTGATTTAATGCAGTTGCCACTTGAAGAGCTTCATATCACCTGCAAGTGGGGTCCTGCATGCTCAGACAAGGAACCACCACATAGTCTATCCCCTCTCACTATGGTGTCAGCTATTTTCCATTTCAATTGTGCATTCACAATTTGCATAAATGTGGAAGGCAGCACAGGTCATGTTGGCAGAGTCATAGGCTAAGACCATGATGTAGTGCAGAAGTAGGCCATTTATCTCATCTACTCTGCTCAGGCATTC